AGAGAGACGAAAGTGGAATGATGGTTACCAGGGGCCTGAGGGAGAGAAGAATGTGGAGTTAGCATTGAATGGATACAGTTTCGTTTGGGGACAATGAAAAAGGTCTAGAGACTGATGGCAGCGAAGGATATACACCAACGTGAGTGTACTTAATACCACAGAACTGTACCCTTAAAAATGGTTAAAATGGTAAATTCGACGTTATGTATACCTTATCCCAATAAAACCACAACAAAACAACACAAAATAACAAATGTTGGGGAGGATGTGGAGAAATTGGAACCCCTGTGCACTGTTGATGGGAATGCAATGTGGTGCAGCCACTGTGGAAAACAGTAAGGCAGTGCCTCGGAAAGTTAAAAATAGAACTACCCTATTATCAGCAATTCCACTTCTGGGTATATATATAAAAGAATTGAAAGCAGGCAATTCCCATATCGATGAATGAGTTGGATATGATAATTTTCATGAGTTCATTTTGTTTGAAAAAGAATCATGATATATCTTTTTTAAAAAATACACTTTAACAAATAAGACTATTTTGTTCTCACGAATCATCAACACAATGCAACTTCTTTAAAGACTGTCTTGTAAGCATTAGGTTTATGAACTATGAGAACAGGGGGGCACCTGGGTGGCTCAGTCGGTTAAGTGGCTGCCTTCAGCTCAGGTCATGATCCCAGGGTCCTGGGATTGAGCCCCACATCGGGCTCCCTGCCCAGCGGAGAGCCTGCTTCTCCCCTCCCTCTCCCTCTTCACCCCTCCCCCTGCTCGTGCTCTCTCTCACTCTCTTTCTCTCTCTCTCAAATAAAATCTTAAAAAAAAAAAAGAATTGAAATCAGGGACTCAAACAGATATTTGTACACCTATGTTCATAGCCTACGCTCAATAGCCAATACATGGAAGTAACCTATATGTCCGTTGACAGATAAGCAGATAAAATATGGTATGCACACATAATGGAATATTATTCTGCCTTAAAAACGAAGGAAGTTCTGGCAGAGGCTACAATATGGAGGAAACTTAAAGACATTTATGCTAAGTGAAATAAGCCAGTCACAAGAAGACAAATACTGTATAATGCCACTTACATGAGGTAAATGGAATAATGAAACTCAGAGGACAAAAAGAATGGTAGTTGCCAGGGGCTGGGATCAGGGAGGAATGGGGAGTTCTTCAACGGTTATGAAAAATTTCTGGAGATTGGTTGCCAAACAATGTCAGTATACTTGACACTATTGAACTATACACCTTAAAATGATTATCATGGTAAATTTCGTTATGTGTATTTATTTACCACAATTAAAAATTTGTTAAAAAAATACATGTGATAGAACTGCCAATAAATTTTGGAAAACTAAAAATATGAGAGAATTCTAATAAATCTGGATTTCTGAAACAAGATGCTGGAGCACTATCCATTGTGATAGAAACTAATATTTTTCATATCTGGCTGAAATTATTTAAGAGATGTAAAAGATTTTTAAAATATTTGCACTATGAGCTTCATTATTTACAACTCTCAAATTGATATTTCTTTGTAAAGCTGGAAATCCAACGCAAAATTATCCAAAATATTAACTGTACTGCCTATAACATTGCAAACTCATCTAAAAGTAAAGTACATGAAACCTTCAAATTTTGAATCAATCGATTTTTATATTCTTAGGAAGTTTGGGTATTGTACAGGCAATGGTTTGGTGCCTTAACTGAAGATCTTTCTTCAACTTGTAAAATATCATTTTTAGGCTTTCCCTCATAATTTAGTAACAAAATTTCCCCAACTGTAATAATTTTTGTTTAGCATTTCACCATCTAAAAACGGTTTTCTTTTCTTGTGCAAGAATCCAAGGCATTTTACAGAAGTCTAAATTTACAAGCTCAGATTCTGTTAAAAATCCTTTAGAAATGTTTTTTCGTCATTAAGTTCTGATGTCAATTTTACTGACTCTTTTTTGACTTTTGTGTAGAAACTCTTTATCAAAAAAAGAGAAACTATTAAATTCACTATATATTTGCTGAAAATGTCTCTTAACGTTGTTTACGATCTTTAATATTTCTTTATTAGAAGGAAAAATAACTTTAGATTTTGCTCTGCGGTGGCAAATGATAATTGCCATCCATTTTGAAAGTGGAGACATACTCTTTTGTCTTATTTTTCCCTTTACTGATCTGGTGTAATACTGCACCTCCACTCAATTTTGCATCGCTACGATGCCGTCATTTAACTTGAAAAATTATCTATACTTAATTTGTAAGCTAACAAATAAGTAACCGAAATAAGTATTTTAATTTAAATACCAACTATGATTTATATGGGTACTACTGTAATTCATGCTGTCTGCATAAAATGCTCAAACATATTACTATGTTACATCAGTGAATAAAAGAAATAATTACTCAACCTAAATGAAATCTGCCGACATTGACTAGACAGGTGACGTATTTTCACGCAATATTGGAAAAAATCACATATGCCCTGTATGTGAAATATAACAGCACAGCAATATCTTACATAATGCAACAATTCAAGTGACGTACAATCTTACCAAAACAATGAAGTTGTGTTTAGGGGAAAGGTATTTTTTTACACTGTCTTAGTTTATAAATCAAAAATAATTTAAATGAAATTCAAATTTCAGTTCCTCAGTAGCTACACTTCAAGGGCTCAGAAGCCTTATACTGAAAAGCACTGATCTAGATTTCAGTGAACTTTTTCACTGTTGCTTTATACAATTGGTAAATCACTGTAAACACAAAGTTAATAATTTCATTCAGTTGTAGGGCGCCTGAGTGGCTCAGTCTTGGGCGTCTGCCTTTGGCTCAGGTCATGGTCCCAGGGCCCCAGGATCGAGCCCCACATCGGGCTCCCTGCTCAGCGGGGAGTCTGCTTCTCCCTCTCCCACTCCGCCTGCTTGTGTTCCCTCTCTCGCTGTGTCTCTCTCTGTCAAATAAATAAATAAAATCTTTAAAAAAAAAAAATTTCATTCAGTTGAAACATTTCCCATTGGTGGTTGTTAGAGTATCAGCAACCATATGCCACAGGTTCATCCTTCTCCTGTACTTTATCAGGGTAAAAACACCAAAATTTGGGGAAGTAAGGATAAAAATTGGGTGACTGTAAGTCCTACTTGCCTAGGGCAGTCCAGTTATGCCTGTTTCCCAGGTTAATTATTTCCAAGTTAATTATTAATGTCATTTCATTTTCAAAAATTTCTCATTTTGGATGACAAATACTGCACATGTTCCAGACATAATGCAAAGTACTTTAAAATCTCTGCTAGGCAACAAGCACTGTATATTCAGTAAGCTTCAAAATCCAGTTAATACAGATAGTTTCCACGAAACTATTTGAGACAGCCCATGAGGACAGAGAACCAAGTAGCCTTGCTACCTGATAGCGCTTTGCCAAGAACACATCCAAAGAGGAATATCTAGATCGTGACTACACATGTTATCAATGTTTTACCTAAGCACATTAGCAAATTTCTCTCTCTTCTTTGGTAGAAAACCTTGGTAATAATGTTTTAAAATTTGCTTTTTGCCTTCACTAAAGAGCACAGATATTATACCAAGTATAATACAAACCTAGACCAAAAGGGGAGAAGTCCAGTTTCCATAAATTAAAGCTTTCGATAGAAAGTACATTTTAAAAAATAAATGTAGTTTAAAACTTGCAAATCTAGATACTTGGTAGCAAGTTGTTAAATTATTGCACTGGAGACTAGCCTACCAAAATATAGAAGAGAGACATATCACTTATTTGCATGTAAATTATTTCTCTAAGTTGCTGGTATTAGTTAGTTCTCTTAAGTGAGGAAATCTAATATACATTAAAGATTAGCTATATGACTGGTATTCTACTAACAAAGCATCATATCACATTTATCAAACTTTAAGTCTTATAACAACCCTGAGAAGTAGCTATATTATTCACATAGTGAGGTAGAGAAACTGATGTTCAGAGAGGGGAAGTAACTTCCTTTAAGTCACAAAGCTCGTGAGTGGCAGAGCTGGACATTTTATAAACTCTGCATAATGTCCTTCTAGGCATAAGGTACAAGGCTCATGAGATCCATAAGTCATGTTTTGGGAGAGAGAATGTTTGTAGTGACCTCAGTGGCTCCTTGGTTTCTTACTTTTCTAGAAAGAACTTAAGAGTCCTGGCTTTCCAGAATTTAGGATACTCCCAAAACTCCCATTTCTATATGCAATAAAATCTAGACGCTGAGAGGCTGGATAAAAGTTAAATTATCCAAGCTTCCTAATCTCCTCATCCCTCCCCCTACCTTCCCCCAAACCCAACAACCTTTAACCATACTTTAAACAAGTGTTAGTCCAGGGACACCTGGGTGGCTCGGTCAGTTAAGCATCTGCCTTTGGCTCAGGTCATGATCTCAGAGTCCGGCATCTGGCTCCCCGTTCAGTGGGGCATCTACCTCTCCCTCTGAGCCTCCCCCTTCTCATGCTCTCTCCCTCTCTTTCTCTCTCACACACTCTCTTGCAAATAAATAAATAAAATCCTTAAAAAAAAAAAAAGTGTTAGTCTGGTAAGAATATCATTACATCATTAATTCAGGTATCAATTAACTTGCAGTATGTGATAAAACTTTTGGAACTGGGCTTAACAATTCTATAATGGAGACATCAAAGAGGGGTTTGTGCTATAAAAGAGGGTAGTTGGAAAAGTATGAATCTGGGAATGAAGCAGGAATGAATCAGAATCTTGACTGCCTATTATACATGGTGTGTCCTTAGAGAAGTTACTTAATTTCTCAAAGCTTCGGTTTTCTTTCCTGAAAATGGTAATATTCCCTAACTCACAGAATTATTTAAACAGTCAAGTGCTATCACCTCCTGCAATTTTAATAGTATTAACATCTCCTTTTATATGTAGATCCCAAATGTCCTACCTTCTCAAAGTGATGTCTTTTGTTTTAATTCTTGGGACTACTCAAGGTGCCTTTCGATATCGAAGAGCTAGGAACCCTGAAGCGAACATGAACATTGTAAGTTGCTAGGAAATAAATGCTAAGCTGCCGAAATAACAGGGAATGCTACTCTTTAACTGGGAAGGGGGGAGCTTTTATTTTAATAGGTCTGCAGTCTATATATTCATTTACTATTCTGTAGCTCAGTTTCCCCTTCACCCTTATTTTGTTCCTGGATAAAAATATATATACATACATTTAAATACCTTTATGGAGGACTTATAAATTCTCTTTTGTATACATGTCCACACATACAAATTCCAGATATAAGCTTAGCTATAACCATAGACATGCAAACATTTGTGGATAAATATATATTTTTAAATTGTATATGGCTGAGTAGGTAAAAGTTTGAGTGATTAGTAGTTAGGAAAACAGTAATGTATAAGACTAATGCTTAGTAGATGTTCTAAAATATCTATTACTGAATCAATCAGTGAACTAGTAAGAAGAAATAGTCCTGAGGTTGAGAGACAATACAAAGGTCCATTATTACATTAATAGGTTAGATTATTATCAGGTTCCATTAACTGACCAGAAATCGTATCCTAAAAGGCTTCCTTTTTCTTTATGTAGAGCCAGATTATTTCCTATTGGGGCTACCCAGATGAAGTATATGATATTGTAACTGAAGATGGTTACATCCTTGGCCTTTATAGAATTCCTTATGGGAAGACAAACAATGACAGTTCAGGTAATATTCAATTCAGAGAAATTTGGTTACTGGGCCCTGAAGGCCTTAACTCTTCCATTTCTTCTTAGTAAGTTTCAGACAAGAAAAGGATTTAAAGATTAAGCATATAGTTAACTTCTCCTACATGTCTCTACATGTCACTAGAAGAGAGCCAGGGGCTCCCCTGGCTTCCTGTTCACAAGGTGGTTTTAGAGTGTGATGGAAATTAAGCTGTTCCAAGTGTTCTTTGTGGGTCACTTTACTCATTTCTGTTGATTCTCTCCAATCTCTTTGTTTCAGGAGGGGTTAGAAATGGTAACATGGTAACATAGGTTTAAAAAACGGCTGGTAAAAACGTCCTTCCTTGTCTTTATGGCTGTCTCTTCTAGTAATAACAAAGAGATCAGGTTGGTAGCAAACTCTGGTTCTTTAACCCAACAGTAGGTACATCATTATCCACAAATGAGGTGAAAAAAATAAAGCACTCGAATTTGTCTCTAGGGTTATAATCCTGTATCAGCCACTTACTAGCAGAATCTGTAATGGATTACTTTTCCTTATTCATCTAATTGCTCAAATAAAAGCCAGCCTTTTTTTTTTTTTTTTTTTAGTTTTCTCTTTAGATTTTCTCCCTGAAAAGAATTTTTTTTTTTTTTTTTTTTAGTTTTCTCTTTAGATTTTCTCCCTGAAAAGAATGTTTCTCATATTATAAAATACCCTCTCAAGTTCTCATTTTAAACATTAAAGTATATTTCATGGAAGATACTAATTTGAAACAACCTCAATCAATGTAATTTTGGATCCTTATAAAGGTCAGAGCTACTAGACAGAAAATGTTAACATATATTTAACATAATTATAGTAATCATTTTTCACGGTATGACCTAATATCATGAATACTGTGATAAAATATTGAAAGGTAATTTAAAAATATAGTAAGTGCTTCAGAGTTGTCTTGAAGCAGTGTTGGAGACAGGGAGTCAGGAGCATGTGATTTATTGCTGGCCTACGGTCAGGAGAAGGTCATGTGGAAATCAGGGGAGGGCAGGGGAAGGAGCTAAGGAAGGATGTGGCTCAGCTAAGTCCAGCTGGAGTCTGATCTCAGGGGAGCGCATGGATCCAGGAACTGCAATACCGAAGTGGTCCTGCCCTGAAGTTAGGCAGCTAGCCTTTTGCATTGTCTCAGCAGTTAGTCATTGCTTAAGGCTTCTCGTAGAAAGAGGTGTATTCTCATAGGTGAGGCAATTGCCATTTGCCTGGGGGGCGATCCTACAGAGAGAGGGGCAATATGAACACTTAGAAAGCAACACCCACAACAGCTAGGAGCATGCTCCACCTGCTTAGGAAAGGAAGTCTAGGTGGGGCACCAAAATAACAGAGTGCACTTCTTGCATTACTCAGATCCATTTGTTTTTCACATGAAGCTTATTTCATCCAGGTACAGGTTTTCCAGAACTTGGGTAGGTCAGAATACCTGGGGAAACTTGCAAGAGGAGGGTGAGTGGAACAGAGTATGACATCTGCCATTGCAACTGATCCTAACGCCATGGCTGGTACTCATAAATTCTGACCTCTACTGCCCACTATAGAATCCTCTCCCTCTCAGCCATGTCTCCTGATGTGGCAAGCCAGGCCCTTATCCTGAAGGGCTACTGTGCCCAAAACAGGTCATGGTTGCAGTACTTGTACATTTTACAGGTAAAGTAAGGCATGGGAGTAACAAAAGATGTCCCAGTGAATCACGTGAATGCCAAATATGGTTTTCCATCTTCATTCTGTATCAGAGGCCCTACCTCGTCATGGTGATCAGGGCCAATTATTCCTGCCAACATAGCAATTCTTTTCTTTGCCACCCCGCCCCGCCCCACAGTCTTCTATCATGAGGAGCCCAAAGTCTAGCCAGCCAGCAGTCATAGCTTTATTATTAGTTACCGCGTGAACTAGTGGAAGTGTTTTCTGTTTGGGAACGAGGACCTCTAGTCTATAGAGCCTTAAATTGTGAGGACAGAAAGTATAAGCCCTGGAGTGAATTACTGGGTGATAGTGAGTCTTAATCCTACCCCTTTTTTTCTCAGACTCATGTGTTCTACCAATGAGAGGAAGTAGCAATATATTCTGGCCATTTGTTTAAGGTATATAATGAGTCCTTAGGATAGGACCCACGCTTATGGGATGTCATCTCCCAGATGGCATCTCCACTGGGTGGTGGTTTCATTGCTCGGTTGGGTTGGCAGCCTTTTGTTGGTAGTTATGTGATAAGACCAGTGGCCTTCCAAGGCCATAATGCTGATGAACGCACCGTCTTTGACCTGCAGTGAATCCCTTTATCTGAGGTATGTCATGAGGGGCTCCATATTTATAGACCAGACACTCCACGAACTCTTGAAAAGTAGTGCTGGCAGGCTGTGGTCCTGGGTGGAAAGAAAGGCAAATCATAGCCAAAATATATCTCAATCCCTGTCATAGTGAATTGTTGCCCTTTCCAAGAAAGAAAGGGTCTGGTGCCCCCAACTGGTCTCCAAGTGGCTGGTTTGGTCTCCTTGAGGGCAGGGTACCCTGTGAGATTTCCTTTGCAGGCAGGTCAGACATACTTTCCTAGTCGCCTTGGTGAGGCACCCACACTGGGGGGCCAGGTTAGTCTACATCTCTCTCATCATGGCTACTCCTTTTGTGAGCCCACAGCACAGCACTGGAGTGGTTAAGACCAGTGTCTGGCTGACATCTACTGGTTGAGACATCCTACGCACTTTTGGTTGGTTAGTGTATCCTATGTAGTGCTCGTTGCCCTCCCTGTGCCCCCTGTCCCCGCCCCACACCACAATTGAGTATTGCTCTGGAGGGCAAATGGGGAAAGGATCAGAGGAGAGCGTCTTGACACTCCTGCAATAACTGTTGTTCCCTTTCACAGATCTGCACCACAATGGACACTTTGGCAAGACTCTTCCCAATCTTTTCTGTGAAGTTCATGTAGGGTTCATGGGACAGAGCTTGCAGGAGGATATAGACTTCCCCTTTTCTACTGAACCCTGTCCTTCACACTGTCCTTGGAGCCTATCCCTGGCCTTCACTAATTCTTCAATTATTCTACCTAATCTATTCAGATTGTGTCTCCCGCATAAGGGAGGGCTTATGTCTCCTTTCTCCTTGTAAGCACCTGTCTCTCCTCAGATTTGAGGCCCGATTTTTGCTCTGTGAATCAGCTCTTTGATGAGTTTTTTAAAAGTCATGAATTTGAATGTAGTTGTTTGTTTGTGTTTTTTTTTTTTTTTATAAGAGTGGGAGCAATACTTTTCCAGTTTATTATACATCCCAAGATGGAAGTCGAAGTTCTCCACTTCTGAGTTTTTAAATTTTGATGATATCCTCATCAGTGTATTTTTTTCAACTTATTAGATGAAATATCCTCTGGGCTCACCCAAGGCACATTAATCAATTGGTGGGTGTTCTGGTTTTATTTATTAGATTAGCATACCTATGTCTTGAGCCTCTGTATCTTTTTCCTTCCCAATCTGCTTTGCTATTCTGGAATTTTCTAAGCTTCTGAGAAATCTTGGCAGAGTGTTGAGACTGACCTCTCCACCATTGCCAGTGTGTAAAACCTTGCATTGTAGGATATATACATATCCTACATAAGATATATATATATATATATATGTAAGATATATATATCTTTCCTTTTTTTCTATCCAACACTTAGGCATACTCTTCCAGATTTTGTAGCTCTTTTAGTGTATAATCTCTTCTCTCCCTCAGCAGGCCCAACACTTCAGTCAAGCCACTGGAGAACTCAACCAGCATTAGTGATTGAGTATACAGGAAGGGATTGGGGTGGATTTTGAGGAGGAAAAGCCTTGTTCTGAAAGATATCTAAGTCAGAGTTTTCTAACAAAGAGGAGTGGGTCACTCTATAGTCCCAGTGAGTTCAGGGAAATTTGGGACTCAAGCTTCTAGAGTTCTTCTATTCAGATAGTCTCATCTCAAGTCTCTGAGTCCTCCTTCCCTATCAAGGCCCTGAATATGGGATGGGTTCTTCCCAGTGCTGAGAATTCAAACTTCCTGAGTTCTACTCTCCTTACAATTAGTTCAAGACCATGATTTTCACCTCAGTTTGCCCTCTCGCAGTAGAAGATGAGGTGTTGAGGTGCTATCAGAAAAGTCTTAGGACTTTCACCCTTTGCTTTGAATTGGTGATTGATTGCCCTGATTCTGTAATACTCTCTCTTTAAAGCATGATTGGCACTCAGCAACAGCTACCCAGACCTCATAATCCTATTTCCTCTGTACCTCTTAACTGTGAGAGATACTGCACAAGCCAGTTATTCCTATCCTGTGCCATCACAGGAAACATGAGTATTTTAGCCCCTGGAGTGCTACAACATGCAAGGTTCTGTCAGTACTCTCCCTACAATTAATGATGTCAATGGTGCGGTCTTCAATGTCAACCAGCCAGCCAGCAAGTAATCCAACTCCACAATCCCATCCACAAATGTCTGCTTCCTTGGTCACTTTTAGTAGTAACTCTTAGGTCAGGTGCCCTAGAAACAGAGCTTGTGACAGGGATTTGAGTGCACATGATTTATTGAGGGGATCTCAGGAAAAAAGAAATGGGGGAAACAGAAGAGAGCAGAGGAAGAAGTTAAGTAAATATGTGGTCTCAACTGGATTCTAGCCTCACCCTGGTCTCTTGAGGAACATGAAGTACATCAGAGCTGGTCCAACCCTGAAGCAAGGGAGTCAGCTTTTTGTACTTTTGTGTCAGTTGGTCAGAGAGGAGATTGTCTCCTTCCTCCTCCAGTGTGGGAGCTCCTATTTAGCCAATAATGCCAGAAGTACCTCTCCTGAGAAGGAACAGCTTCTTTCTTTCTTTCCACACTCAGCGTGGAGTCTGCTTGAGAGTCTCTCTCTCCCACTCTCTCTACCCCTCCTCCGGCTCTCTCCCTCTCTGAAATTAAACTAAATTAAATTAAAGTAAAGTAAAGTAAATTAAAACGTATATGAGTGCTCACATTACTATTAGATATTTGAATGTTCTAATCTTAAAAGTTAATATATTTAAGTGAGACATAGCCTAATTGTACATTTGGTCATTTGAAAAAAACTCTTTGTAAACTGTGCTAAACAACTGACATACAATGGGATTAAACATTAATAATTTACCCTATCTATACAATATAAAATAAAAAAAAATTTTTAAACCTCAAACTGTCATGTTTTGAAAGATTGAATTTCAGATGAGATATTTATGCAGATACTACAACATTTAAAAAGAAATTCTCTGCATTTTTTTTTTCTAGCTCAGAGGCTTGTTGTATACTTGCAACATGGTTTATTTACATCTGCCAGCAGCTGGATTTCAAATCTTCCCAACAACAGCCTGGGCTTCATTCTAGCAGATGCTGGTTATGACGTATGGATGGGGAACAGCAGAGGGACTACCTGGTCCAGGAAACACACGTACCTCAAAACAAATTCCAAAGAATTCTGGGCCTTCAGGTACAAATAACATCAAGTAATGTTTCATTTTATTTTATAAGTGTGTCAAATATTTTGTTTTGTGTTTGAATGAAATAAAGTAGAACAGAAGTATCTTTTCCCAATCAGGTCTTTTAACAGACCATAACAATTTGTGTCAGTTTTTGCTTGAAAATTAAAGAGTGATTGTTTGATCTTAAGCATGTTTCTTGTTTTTCAGTAATAACCTTTATTGGCTAACCCCACCCTTCCTTTAACCATTGTTTTATTCCATAACCTATATTAGTTTATCTCCCTGTACGTAGAATAAACAAACAGCATCTTTATAAGACTATCATGGGACTATTTTAGTTTCTTGACTTTGTGTTCTCACATAAGTCTTTATTCAGTAGATACATTATGCCATGTAACTTCCTTTTTTTTTAAGATTTATTTATTTATTTGAGAGAGAGTACGACTGTGGGGAGAGGCAGAGGGAGAGGGAGAGAGAAGCTCAAGCAGACTCCACGCTGAGTGCAGAGCCTGATGAGGGCTCGATCTCACAACCGTGAGACCACGACCTGAGCCGAAATCAAGAGTCAAGATGCTTAACCAACTGAGCCACCCAGGCGCCTCATAACTTCTTGATAATACGTAAAGAGAGTTGAAAATTGTTTCATGCACTTACTTATTCATCATCTTCAAGTGTTAGCATCACATTAGAAGCAAGGGGATTTCAACTTCCCTTTTTCTTTTGTAGTTTTGATGAGATGGCAAAATACGACCTCCCAGCCTCCATTGACTTCATTGTGAAGCACACGGGACAAGAGGAAATATTTTATATAGGTCATTCCCAGGGCACCACTATTGGTATGGCAAGAAAGATTGTCGCTATAGTCCACAATGACTGTTGTAGAGTTTGCAGACACACCTCCTAAGGACATGGGCAAGCTCCCCAAGCTACAAGTGACACAAAGCAGAGCTCTGAGAGGAGCGTCCAACAGCTGGGCCTGGGAAGCTTACCCCCTCCTTACTTCTACCTTATCTTCTTCAGTCACAAAGAACTCATTGTAATAACAGGTTGTTGGCAGTTGTCTTTGTTTCCAAGTGTTCAGAAGTTGGATATCCATCTTGGGATCAAAGTGAAATCATAACTACAACTTGTTCCACAAATAGAAATTTCATACTTATTATTATGGTCATTTAAGTGTGGCATAGGGCCTCATGAGGGAGAGACATGAGAAGGCCATTTATGTTATGCATTTAGGACAGATTAAACTTTAGACCTACACGAAGATGAGCAAAGTCTTCATATGTTTAAAGAGACTAGAAAAGAACTTCTGTCAGCTCACAACAATGCTTCTATCCAATGCGTGACAACTTCACTTTCAGAAAAGAAAAAAATTCTCTAAAACCCAACGTAATTCTCTTACATGGTGCGGTAAACCTTCTTACTCCCACTCTCTCTACTGTGGAAGTTACAAAGACTATTTTATAATAGCAGCCAGTATTCACTGAGTCTTTTCTAGGCTGAAAATGATCATTTTCTTATAGGAATAATCCACTTCCTGCTTTAAAAAAAATTTGTTGAATAACAGTCTAATCCAATTTTCCATAGATTTTTTCTCTGACATTTATTAACCATGTGTGTGACTTGGAGTCTGGATTCTCCAGCTGTTCAGTTATTTGGAACCAGGAATCTTGGAAAATTATTAAATAAAAAAAAAAGTGGGTTATGTGCTAGAGTTTACTGACTCATAATATGTTATATGATTCTTTGGTTGTTTGCCTTCTTAGAACTCAGAAAACAGAAAAGCTATAAAAATAGAGATGTGCAAGAATGTAGCTTGATAAGATGTCACAAAGGGGAAAACTATTTGTCACATTAATAACTCTAAACTAACAATAAAATATAAACTAGTGTTTGGTTATCTTCTGTACAAGAAGGCAAGGATATTTTGAAATATATTAAAAGTAAATATTGAAATAATTTGACATGTATTGAATCTCTCACGTAAAGTGTAAGATTCAAATATCAGAAAAGCTCACTAACTTATTTTCAGCATTGCCAGTTATAGAAATGTTCAGTATTGTTTCTGATTTCTCAACTGTGGGGTTATAAGACTCTTTTAGTGTTGATTTATCATTATTTATGGCCTAGACATTGTTTTTAATACTAATCATCAGTATGCTATTGTGATCAATATGCATGTCTCATACTGGGTGACCGATAAATGTTTGATAAGGGAATTAAGAAATGAATGAGTCAATTAAGTGGTCATAGCATACTGAATTTACTCTTACTTGTCATGATGTCATTTCTTACATGCTACTAATCGTGTAAGAATAGTTCATTTCTGTCTTATTTTCTTTCAGCTTTCATAACGTTTTCCACAATACCAAAGATAGCTGAAAGAATCAAAATATTTTTTGCCTTAGCTCCAGTTTTTTCTATTAAATACTCAAAGAGCCCTTTAATTAAAAGGGCATACAAATGGAAGTCAGTGATAAAGGTATGTTATTCCTTTCCTTTACGTAGTTGATAATCCAAAATGACAATGTTTCTGTCCTTTCAAAATAAAAAGTCTTGACTATGTTTGTATGAATTTTATTTTCTGGTTTCAGTGACACTGGATTCTTTCGTTTTTACAAAGGAATAAGATTTTACTTATAATACCTTTGGACATCTCTTTGTGGAGGAAAATCCAGTAGTCAACTTACCTCTATCTCCTGCTTCCAAGTTTTGTTCTTAACATAAATTTTTTAAGACTTTATTTAATTATTTATTTTAAAGAGAGAGAATGCAGGAGCGAGGTGGGGAGGGGCAGGGAGAGGGACAAGCAGACTGCTCTGAGTGTGGAGCCCAGCACGGGACTCCATCTCACAACCCTGGGATCATGACCTGAGCCAAAATCAAGAGTCAGCCACCTAACCGACTGAGCCACCTAGGAACCCCTCTAATTTAAATGTTTTAAACTAATGTGAGACAGTGCATTTGATTATAAATATAATGAGCTCATTGCACCATTTCTTGATTAATTATTTTGGTCTTTCAAATATGAATAAAGTAAATTTGTTTTACAGGCTTTTTTTGGCAACAAAGACTTCCTACCTAATACCTCATTTAAAAGATTTGTTGGTTCAAAGCTGTGTACACTGAAGACTATTGGTAAGATTTGCCGTGATATCTTGTTTATGATATATGGATGTGACCTGGAGAACTTAAATATGGTGAGAACAAGTTGAATTTGAAATGTATTTTGTCAATTATTAGAAAGCAGCTCTTAATAGCACTTATTTTATGCCTTGTGTGTCATTTTATGATTTATCCACATATACTAATAGATTCTTAGCCTTTCTGGTTTTGGAACTATACCAACATTCTGAAACTAATCAGCATGAACATGCAGGGATTATTTTGCAGTCAAATTTGTCTTGCCTCTGTAAAGAACAGAGAGCAGGTGCTGTGCTGGGTCTTTTTATTGGCCTTTACTATTGGGTGTTAGTTTCCTGAAGTTTCTTGTATTTAAGTTGTCTTTTATCACTTGTTTTTCACAACCCCTGCTCTTATATCTTGGTTCCTAACACTCCTTCCCTTTCTTGTTGACCCTTTTGTAATTAGCATTAGTGCCTGTGAAATAGCTTACATGCTTCTGGCATTCATCAAAATTCCTGGAGTGGGAAACTGTTTAAGGGCTCAAGCTACTATTACCAAGCCCATATGGATTGATTGTACATAGATGTTGTTACAGATGTAGGCATTCATTCTAAGACTTTTTAAGCACATTAAATTAAAAATCCAGATTGGGCAAAAGCAGCTGTGGCATTTAGACTACTGGTTGTTTCCTGTACCTGTACCATTTAATAATTTCCCAGCAAGAATCAATTTACTCATTCAGAGAAAGAGAAGTTGTCAAGATGTCCATTCTTACCAACTTAGTCCATAGATTCAATGCAATCCTAATCAAAATCCCAGCAAGCTATTTTAAGGATATTGACAAATGACTTCTAACATTTATGGAGAGAAGCAAAACCCAGAGTAACCAACACAGGATTGAGGGGAAAGAGCAAAGTTGGAGGATTGGTACTATTGAACTTCAAGACTTAGTATTAAACTACAGTAATCTGGACAGTGTGGGATTAGTGAAAGAAGAAACAAGAAGATCAGTGCAATAAGACAGAGAGCCCAGAAATAGAGCCCTATAAATATCAACAACAGATCTTTGACAAAGGAGAAAAGGCAGTGCAATAGAAAAACAATAGTCTCTTCAACAAATGGTGTTGGGACAACTGGACATCCACATGCAAAAAAAGTGAATCCAGACACAAACTTTATACCCTTCACAAAATTAACTAAAATTTGGATCAAAGACCTAAATGTGAAATGTGAAACTATAGAAATTCTAGAAGATAACATAGTGAAAAACCTAGATGACCTTGGGTGTGGCAAGGACCACCAGAGTGGTACATGTGTTACAACTGATGAACCTACATCAACACATCATAAGTACCCTAAATCCATAGTTTATGGTATGGTTCACTCTGGTGTTCTACATTCTGTGGGTTTTAACAAATGTATAATGACATGGATCTACAATCATAGTATCAGAGAGGATATTTTCACTGCCCTAAAAATCCTCTGTGCTTTGTGTGTTCATTCTTCCCCACTTAAGTCCTGGCAACCACTGATACCACTGATCTTTTTACTGTCTCCCACAGTTTTGCCTTTTCCAGAATGTCATGTAGTTGGAATCACACAGTTTGCAACCCTTTCAGATTGCCTTCTTCCATTTACTAGCATACATTTAAGGTTCCTCCATATCTTTTCCTGGGTTGGTAGCTTATTGATTTTTAGAGCTGAAAAATATTCTATTGTCTGGATGTACCATATCTATCCACCTACTAAAGGACATTTTGGTTCAAGTTTTGACAATTATGAATAAAGATGCTATAAACATCAATGTGCAGAGTTTGCATGAACATGAGTTTTCAACTCCTTTGGATAAATACCAAGGAATGTGATTGCTGGATTGTATGATAAGGATACATTGTGTTTTATAAGAGACCACCAAACTGTTTTCCAAAGTGGTTGTACTACTTTGCATTCCTACCAGCAGTGAATGAGAATTCCTGTGGCTCCACATCCTAACCAGGACTTGGTGCTGTCAACGTTTGGGACTTTTGTCATTTTCACAGTTGTGTAGTGCTATCTCATTGTTCTTTTAAGTTGCATTTCCCTGATGACATATGATGCAGAGCATCTTTTCATGGTCATTTGCTATTTCTATATCTGTTCGGTGAGGTGTCTGTTAAGGTCTTTGGCCCATTTTTAAATCAGGTTATTTATTTTCTCATTGTTGAGTTTGAAGGGTTCATTGTACATTTTGGGTAACAGTCCTTCATAGATATATCTTTTGCAAATATTTTCTTCCAGGCTGTAGCTTGTCTTCTAATTCTCTTGATACTGTCTTTTGCAAAGTGGACGTTTTTAACTTTGATGAAGTCCAGCTTGTCAGTTATTTCTTTCATAGATTGTGCCTTTGGTGTTTTATCTAAAAAGTCATCACTAGACCCAAAGTCAACTAGATTTTCTCTGCTATGTTATCTTCTAGGAGTTTCATAGTTTTGAGTTTGACATTTAGGTCTGTGTTCTATTTTCAGTTAACTCTTGTGAAGGGTGTGGGGTCTGTGTCTCAACTCTTTTTTTTTTTCTTTTCCACGTGGTTGTCTAGTTGTTCCAGCATCATTTGTTGAAGATACCAGTGTTTCTCTGCTGTATTGCCTTTTCTCCTTTGTCAAAGATCTGTTGACTATATTTATAGGGGTCTGTTTGGGGGCCCTCTGTTCCGTTCTATGGATCTGTTTGTCTATTCTTTCACCAATACCACACTGTCTTGATTACTGTAGGTTTACAGTACATCTTGAAGTTGTGTGTGTCAGTCCTCCAACTTTGTTCTTCCCTTACAATATTGTGTTGGCTGTCCTGGGTCTTCTGCCTCTCCATCTGAGAAGCAGTCTGTTGATATCCTTAAGATAACTTGCTGAGATTTTGATAGGATAACATTGACATTATATGTCTTGTTCACTGATTGAGGTTCCCAGTGACCATGTAGGCAGTACAAACCTAGATGACAGATTGACTTGAATGCTGTTCTGTTTCTGATTGCTTCCTTGGGAGTTGTGTAGAATTTCAGGAGCCCAGTTAATCATGGAAAGGGTTTCTTTTTAAAGTCTCCTAACTGCCCTTGGCAGGTTCTGGGCTGATTTTTTTTTCCTGAACTAGCTGAGTTCTCACAATGAAACTTCAGATTCTCTGCGCTTGGCAAATAACTTGAAGGAAAACTGTCTTTAGTACTTTGCTTTTTTGAGGGTTTTTTGTTTTTTCTTTTCCATTTTTCCTGGTAATTTCTTTCAATCTTTTCAGTTCTTTAGTGAGCAAAAGGGGTGTGTGTGTGTGAGTCCTAAGAGTTTTGATTGTTTTCAGTATGGGATGACAGACTACATAACTTGGAAATCCAATAATAGCTTCTACATTAATGCAAAAATTACACATTTAGTAAGTACATTTGTGTCCTTAATTAAAATATAATTTTATCTTTTTATTTATATTACTTAAAAATAACTTTAAATTTAATTGAAATTATTTAGTGTAGTAAATATCAAAGATTATGCTTTCTCCAATTGAACTAGATATAAAAATAATTTTTTAACCCCTCAGAGTCGTGTGGATGTGTATATGTCACATAATCCAGCAGGGACATCTGTTCAAAATATGCTACACTGGAGTCAGGTACAACTTTTCAAGTGCATTTTAGTACAATTTTATTTATACCACTCATGGTTTATCCCATCATTCTGGGAATCATGCCATTGCCATAGGATGATAAATTTAGAAGGATAAAATGTAACAATTACATATTTGTGTAATTATTTATAGTTTTTAATATGTTAATATCATAACCTACTAGGTCTTCTAACCCTAAGCAATGATCAGAGCAATATAATTATTTTGTTTTACAAATGAGAAAATATGAATTCGGAATAGTAGACTAGCAATCATTGAGGCCATGTTCATCACTTGACTTGCCCAAAGAGTCAGAGCTATTCCTTTAAAAAAAACCTAAGACTAAAAAATAATAATAATAATAAAAAATTAAAAAATAAAAAAGTCCTAAGACTAGAACACAGGTGTCCTAATGCCTAGTCTCTCACTAGACTACACTCTCTTCTCTGTTCAATTGTGAACTCCATGAGGACCATGAGCAAGTTTTATTCACTTCTACATTTGCAAGGCCAAGAGCTCTGGGCAAATAGCAGATACTCAAGAATATTTATTGCATGAATATTAATGAAGAAAAAAATCCAGTGTGAATATCATCTTAATATTGAGAGCCAGGATAATTATCTTAGAAAGAACAGTATACTTGAGATGAAAATATCAGACACTGAATCCTTTCTCTGAACCTTACTGACAGTGAGACACTGAGCAAGCTCATTTAATCTTTATGAAGTCAGTTTCCTTACTTTTAAAAATGGAGTTAATAGTAATGCTTTGACTTAACAAAAATATTATGAGAGTTCAACAGGGTGATGATTATGAGTGTTATTTAAACTTAACAAACACTAATGAATTTACAGTATCATTGAGATATTGATAAGAGCTTTCTCATTTAAAAATGTTTAAATCTATTAAGTGGTTGTTTCCAGGTAAATTATTAAAAATCTTTAACTTATGTTTAGATTTAGTTCATTCCCGGTGATAGGCCAGGAAAATCTAAGCAACCTTTGCATCTATTCATCCATTGAAACAATATTTATTGAGTACCTACTATGTGCTCTGTACTGTTTTATGCTCAGGGTATATATCATTGGACAAAATAAATATTCCTGTCCTCTTTAAGCTTACATTCTAGTGGTAGATATACAGACAGTAAACATTAAGCATAGCAAATAAGTAAATTATTAAAAATTTAGAAGGGGATAGAAGCTATGGAAAAATAAAGGAGAAAAGGCAAGATAAAGAGATTAGGCATACTGGGTAGTGGGTTGTGTTTTTGAATAGAGAGGTTAGGCCAGCCTCAATGAGATGGTGACATTCGAGAAAAGATTTAAAAGAGCCGAGAAAGTTAGCAATGTGAACAACCTGGAGGAAGAACATTCCAGACAGAGAGAATAGCCAATGCAAAGCCTTTAGTCAGGAGCATTTCTGAGAGGCATGGCTGAAAGGTCAGTGAGGGTGATGTCAGTGATTAAGGGAGAAAGGAGTAGGGAAAAGGGGGCAGAAATGTACTAGACCCAGAAAGGGACAAGAACATCATTGTGAGGACTTTGGTTTTCCGGCTGAAGTGAGTAGCCTCTGCAGGTTTTTGAGCAGGGAGGGGACATGATATGATTTACATTTTTAAAGGAATACTTAGGGGACGCCTCACTGGCTCATTCAGCAGAGCATGTGACTCTTGATCTCAGGGTCGTGAGTTCAAGCACCACACTGGGGTAGAGTTTACTTGGAAAAAAAAAAAAGGGAATGCTTTGGGTGCCATGTTGAGTAGACTGAAGTGGAAACAATGATAAATTAAGGAGCTTACTACCATAATCCAAACAAGAATGATGATGGCTTGCATGGGATGTGTTCCCAGGAAGGGTGGTGAAGAGGGTTTGGTTCTGAGTATACATGTGTATTGTAAACATGCAGCCATGGACATTTAATGATGGATTCTGAGAGAGGAGAGAGAAGAGAGTCTTGGATGACTCCAGACGTTCTGGCCTAAGCAAGGAAAAGATGCAATTGCCATTAAAGGAGATCGGGACGTTTGGTGGTGGTGTAGGTTTGAGGGACAAATAAGATGTTCAGTTCTGGAGATGTTAAGTGTGAGACACCCCAGTGATTAATTTGAATAAGCAGTTGTGTATAGGAGTCTAGTATTTAGAAGAGACTTACGGAAGATAAACATTTTAAATATGGATGCCACTGAAAGCCAAGAGACTGGATGAGAACACACAGAGTGAGTACAGATGGGGAGAAGAGGAGCAAGGGTGGTGGGATGAGACATAGAAAGATTCAGAGTTCAGGCAGCAGCAGCTGGATGAATACAGCAAGGAGACCAAAAACGAGCAGGGAGTGAAAAATGAAGATCAGGAAATGACAGTGTTCCAGAAACTAAGTGAAGAAAAGCTCTCAAGGATAGAAATGGACACCTAGGTCAAGTGCTGCTCATAGGTAATGTGAGGAAATTCCTCAGAATTAACGAGTTTTACAAATGTTAAAGTCATAAATAACCTCAGCTAGTTTTGTGGCAGGAAAGAGCTGTAGGAGAAGAAGCATTCTTGGGGAAAATCAGGTTGTCCAGAGAGCAGGAAGGTAAAGGAGCCCATCAGAGATGGGTTTTAAGATACAGGCTAAGGATGGAATTCCAGATGGTAGAAAGAGTTTTAGGAGTTGGGGGGAGATGGGAGGAGATAAAATGGGGGGGGTGCATGGAGACCTGTCAGATTTAGAGTCTCAGAGAAGGTGGGTAAACTGAGAGTCTGAACCTTCCTGCAATGAAAACGTTATTAGGGGAAAAAATGAACGCAATCAGATTAGACCTAATAGGCTCACTGCAGTTAGTGGTGGTGAGGCTACAAATATGGTAGGTGAAGCAAGGGATTGCTTCTGGATCATGCTCTTGAGTGCTGTTATTTGAAGCAAAGGTGTCTAGGGAAGTGTCATTTCAGTCCTAAAGCACTTAGTCCTAGAAACTTTTTGTTGTTGTTGTTGTTTAAGATTTATTTATTTATTTTAGGGAGAAAGAGAGAGAGCATGAGCACAGGGAGGGGCAGAGGGAGAGGGAGAGAGAGAATCTTCAAGCAGACTCCCTGCTGAGTGCAGATCCCAAGGCAGGGCTCAATCCCACAACCCTGAGATCAGGATCTGAGCTGAAACCAAGAGTCAGATGCTCAACCAACTGAGCCACCCAGGCGCCTGTAGACAATTTTGACCTCTGTGGATGAAGCTGAGGATTTCTGGGGACGGCTGATGTTGCCCCAAGCACACAGGCTCCTTTTAACAAGGTAAAAGGCCTTGGGGAAATGTGCATTTATATGAAGATGACAGAATCACATTCCGTAGATTCCCCTGCCCCCCACCACCTCCTCCCTCTTCCATTTCTTGCCCTATGCAAAGGAAGGGAGAAGCAAGGAAGTCTCCCTGCACATATACCCACAGGCCCAGTACAAAGGGGCAGGCAGTACATGAAATGCACACCTCACATTACCAGCTGTGCTGTAGCAAACAGATGAGCATAATCTTGCTTTTAAATTTTTTCTTTCAGCTTTTTAATTCTAGCCAATTGAGAGCTTTTGACTGGGGCAGTCCTGTTCTGAACTTGGCTCATTTTAATCAGGTACATAATTATGTATAAGCTGAAAACTATCTCCTTGATCTGTTCAGATGATGTTGCTACAGAAAAAGGCTCATGTAAAGCCCGAGAGTATAATAACAGAGTGAGAAGGACCAGCAGATGAAGATCGCCGTGATTTGGCTCCATGTTGTCACATCCAACCCAAGGGGCTTTTCCAGGTTTTCTACGTATTTTCCAGGTTTTCTACTTATTTTAACAACAAATACCTTGGATAAGCCTGGAGAAGTTTGACAGGCTGTAGAGTAATTCATCCTCCCTCAAGAGGAAAAATATTGTGTTTATAATATGCGTAGCTCTGTGGTTAGTAAAATAAGAAATAAGAGGCATAACATGGTTCTTGACCCTCAAAAGCTATTGACTGTATTTGGGAAGATAAGACAAACCCTCATTCCACATAATGGAATTTTCCTCATTCCACATAATGAGGAAAAGATAAAAGTTAATGAGAAGGTGGTAATAATTGTATGAGGAAGATGACAGAAGTCTTGAAGTATTAGAACCCAAGTCTGTCTTCAAAGTTATTCTTTTCCACCATCCTTTTCTGCCTTAGCTAAACTTCATGCCTAATGTGGTTAGCTTATGTAAAACTCCAAAGTAGAATAGAAAGATCAAAATCAATAAAATCAGATTTGGCTTCAATTGCCAATGTTTACCATTTATTGATGAACATATTGGCAGTTATACAACCACGGAAAATTTTGATTGAAATACTTTCATGCCTTATAAATAAAACTGAAATTCCTTCTGAGGAATGTTTGAATACCCTGAATTAGAGCAAACGGTCTAGTTTTGATTTGTATCTGATCTATTTCTAAGTAAAAATCATAATAATGATTCTTTCAATGTTCTTGCTTTTATAGTAGTAATTACTTTAGATTCAGCTTATTTTAAAATTGTATTAATTCATCATTTAAAGAAAAGTAAATAACACCTTTTATGTATCATTTTCCATGAAAACCCTCTACATTTAGTCCACTTCTCCATTTTACGATGTGAGGAACATGAACGTATCAACAGCAACTTGGAATGGGGGCAATGACTTGTTGGCCGATCCTGAAGATGTGAAAAATCTACTTCCTGAAATTACAAACCACATATACCATAAAACTGTTTCTTACTACAATCATATAGACTTTTTGTTCGGATTAGATGTATATCAGCAAGTTTACCATGAAATCATTGACATTATCCAAGGCAATCTATAAAGAACTATGGTACTCTGTGTTGAAGGATCTATATCATTTCTCTTAAAATCCAATCACTTTTTTCTTGCTATGCATGTTTTTCCAGTTATTTAAATAAAATCTGGAATTTTTCCCTATTTTTTTCACTGCCCCAGGCCTTCCATTCATTAAATCAGTGGCATTTATTATATGAGGGAAACGGCAGATTCTAACTCAACCCAAAGTAGTCTGTTGGGTGTCTACATGCAACATAAGTAACTAAAAGCATAATTTTAAAAGGATGACTTTTTGAAAAGGTGCTTTCTTTACTTCAAAGAAATATGAGTATATATGATATTAAAAGAGTTTGGGAGAATGCTTGCTGATACGAAAGCTAATTTTTGTCTATGCTGAATAAAGAGTAGAAACACTGTTGTGCTATGCAAAGGGGTTTGGGGGAGGAAAAAGGGAAGAAGGAGGGTTTGGATGCCAGTGTAGTATTTCCGCTTCTGCCCCACTTGCGGCCAAGCTTCAGAAGTAGGGAGCTCATAAAAGCCATAAAGGGTTTGTGCCTCACTTCCCAGCCTGTAGAGCCTACCTTTCCAGCAAATATGTGTAAAGAGTAGCAATGGTTGTTGGGGCGCCTGGGTGGCTCAGTCGGTTAAGCATCTGCCTTCAGCTCAGGTCATGATCCCAGGGACCTGGGATGGATGGGCATCAACAGGCGGTACAGGGCACATCACATACAAGGACTTAGACAATAGTCCTTCCGACTCTGCAATAATGCATAACATCACGGGCTTTTCTTAGTCCCTGGGGACAACAAGATGAAAAGGGAGAGTTCTAGAATTGAGTGTAAATTTACCACATAAAGACTGGGGGGAAAAAATCTATAATTTCTTGAATTGGGAAATTGAGTTTCCTGCCCCAAGCAAAATGGAGCTTGGAAGCCAAGCCAAGTCCGGTTCACTCTGAGGTGGCTAACTCTGTGCTCCACACATGCTTATGGGCTTTAAAAAGTGTTCCACAAAAAATAACAGAATATGCATAGATAGTGAGAAAAAAGAAAATCTATGCATAGGTTACTGGAATGCAGCTAAGAGAAGACACATGACTTTAAAGGCCACAGTTCAGACTACAGGTCAGTCCTTCCTTTCTTTGCTAACCCTTGGTACCAAAAAAGTAGAGCACTGAGAATAGATACACACTTAGAGATACCTTTTTAAAGAGCTCAGGAATGTGTATATAACATAAGTGTTGCTTCAAAGTTTTCGAATGATCCTTCAAAAAAGACAAATGCAGAGGGTAACTATGCAGAAGAATTACTCATGCTGAGATTTAAAAAATAAGTTGGAGGTTTCTGGTAATGGTGGACTGAGTAATTCAGACCTGGGACAATGTGAAAAGCATTTATTTGAAGACAAGGAGAGCTAAAAATGCAGGGAAGAATTACAGGGTCAAGAAAAAGAAGTCCAGGAAAGTAAGCCTAGCATTTTAGCTGTTTATATCCTAGCAACACCTGCTTTGTCCAGGTGTATAATTAAAATCCTGCAAACAATTAGTTGAGAATAAAAATTGTAATTCAGCTTACCAAAGGGAAGTTTCTCTGATAAACCTTGATCTTCGGGCTTTGGATTGGAACCTCAAAGTACTATACCCTAAGAATAAAGTCAAACTAGAAATTGATCACCCTTTCAGAAACCGTAGACCACCTTTGAATTTTTTTAAAGATTTTATTTATTTATTTGAGAGAGAATGAGAGAGAGCACATGAGAGGGGGGAGGGTCAGAGGGAGAAGCAGACTCCCTGCCGAG